AGCAGGGGTTGAAAACTGACAGCCCACAGATCCAACTTTACCTTCCAATTAGTTTTGTTTGGTTAGTTATAAACATTTGGAAATTAGAAGATTTGACATGAAAATCTGGATTTCTGGCTTCACTGGAGGGAACTGGTCACACCACGCCTTTCCATCTCCACCTGGCAACTGTCTTGAGCCCAGTAAAACAGCCTCCACTTAGACAGGTATGAACTGTCCATATTGCCATAATGCATACCTTGACGGCTGTTTTTGTGAAGTCTGAAGCTTTTAAAACCTGGCAAGAGCTCTTCTTGTAGAAAATTAATACAAAATGATGAATAGAACATGTTTGCAGCATCTGTGATGCTGCAGGAAAAATAACAAATAAAAAATTGCCTGTGGCCCATGAGTACAAAAACCCTGGGATGACTCCAAGGCCATTTAACACCATAAGGGAAAGTGTGAAGGAGGGGGCATGTCAGGGAGGGAAGCTGCTGCCCAATTAGCAAATTAAAGTTCAATATCTTACTTTTGCAAATTTCATGAAAACACACGATTATCAGGCAAAGGCTGGAACCCCTCCTAGAACCTTGCAAGGGGCAATCCACCTCTCTCTGCCGCTTTTCCTTTTTTAATTGTTTTACTACCTGCCTGGACTCTGTGGGCATATGAGTTTTCAGACCCTTCAAACTGAAGGATTTCTAAGTTCTCTGACATTTTAAAGTTCTGTGGATCTGCTTTTGTTCACACTCTGTAATGTTTTCTTAAAAGAGTCATAGCCCGAGCTATCTTCTGTTACTTTAGTCTTAGAATAAGCTGCTAAATGAGCTTGACAATGGATAGGATGTGTGGATTTCTTTCCGTTGTTTGCGAGCAATCTAACACATCCGAACTGCCAAGCATCTATTGAAAAAGAAAGAATTCAGCCATTATGCTAAACAAGTGACAGGCAAATTCTTACACCACGCTGATGATCAAACAAATGACAAGTTTCTCTACCTTCTTTGTAACAAAGTTGGACAGCGGCTGCGTATATGTGAAATATGAGTGAGAAGGGGGAAATCTGTCAGGCTGCTTAAATAATGAGATGACTGCCCCCATGGCTGAATTTTCAAACAGGGGCAGTCCAGCTCATGGTAAGTCTTCCCTCGGTTCATTCCAAATCTGACTTCCACTCTTTTCAATGTCCAGAGCAAGGAGATATGTTGTCCGAACCCCTAAGGATCTTTTGCCCTGGCATTCAATAAAATCAAAATGCTGTTGGACACATGGCCAAGAACTGTGATGCATAAAACACTCTGAGTTCAGTTAAGGCTCAATCATTAATTAGAACAGCCTCGTCCTCAAATGGCATTTGAGTCCTGGACACCGGGCAACGCAGGATAAATGCAGCAGGTTTCACATACACTGGAGTGAGAAAGTTGCCACTAACACGGAAATTCATAGAAGCCTGAGCTAACTTTTACTTTAGCACAGATCCTTTGCATTGAGGGATAATTCCTGCATTTGCAGATAGTTCAGAAATGTTCTGTGTATGCACTATTTCCAAAGAGTCTTAAAATTTCCTTTCTCATACTATAATCGGTTGTTACCCTTCCTATTGATTTCCCTATTCCATTAGAAATAGAGAAGAAAAAAATACATACAAATATATACACATATATATACACATATGTGTATATATATGTGTGTGTGTGTGTATATATATATATATATATATATATATATATATATATAGCTTTTAGGTTGAGTGGATGTAGTTTTCTTTTCTTCCTTTTTTATTTGGAGGCAATAAGATTGTGCGGGGAGGAGGGGGGTGGTGGAGAATCTGCAGTTTACCACCTTGACAAGTTCTCTGATCTACATTTTCACAGAGGGACTTGTTTGCCCCAGTAGAATAAAAGAAAATTCTGAATGCCACAAGGCTAGATATTTGCAGAGTCACAAGGCAAGAAATACAGCGATGGTAACATGGTACGATGGATACAACGCAAACATCCATTAACTAATGGATAGATGGATAAACAAAATGGCATATCCATACAATGGAATACTCTTTGTCTATGAGAAGGAACAAAGTTCATGCTACAGCATGGATAATCCTTACAAACCTTACGTTAAGTGAAGGAAGCCAGACACAAAAGGCCACATATAGTATGACTCCATTTATGTGAATGTCCAAGATGGGCAAATTCTATAGAGACAGAAAGTAAATTAGTGGTTGCCTAGGGCTGGGGCAAGGGAGCAATGGGGAGTGACTGATAAGGGGTATAAGGGTTCTTTCTGGGGTGATGGAAATGTTATAAAATTGACTGTGGTGATGGGTGCACGAATCTGTGAATATACAGTTGACCCTTGAACAGTTCCGGGGTTAAGGCACCAACCTTCCACACAGTCAAAAATCCGCCTATAACTTTACAGTCAGCGTTCCCGTTCATGGTTCCACATCCGATGATTCAACCAACCCTGGATCATGGAGTTCTGTAGCATATATTTATTGAAAAAAAATCTGCATATAAGTAGACCCGAGCAGTTCAAACCCATGTTGTTCAAGGGTCAGCTGTACTAAAATCCACTGGATTTTATAATTTAAAAGGTAATTTTATGGTATGTGAATTATATCTCAATAGAGCTGTTTTAAAAATGTAATGGGTGCAATCCCACGTCTACATATTTATCCAAAAGAAGTGAAATCAGGTTCTCAAAGAGATAGTGTATTCACGTCTACAGCAGCGTTATCCACGAGAGCCAAGAGGTGGACACAAGAACAAATGGACGGATAAACAAAATACGGTAGATCCAGACAATGGACTCTTGCTTAGCCTTAAAAAAGAAGGAAATCTTGGCATATGCTAAACATGGGTGAACCTTAAGGACATTATGCTAAGTTAAATAAACCAGATCACAAAAAGACAAATACTATATGAATCCACTTATATGAGGTACCTGGAGCAGTCATACTCAGAGAGGTAGAGAGTAGAATGGCTGCCAGGGGTTCGGGAGTTGGGAGAAAGTTCTGGAGATTGGTTGTACAACAATGTGAATACACTTAACATTACTGAACTGTACACTTAAAAACGGCTGAGACAGTAACTTCAGGTTATGTGTATTTTACTGTAATAAACTTAAAAATGTATACATAATGGGCATATTATTCAAACCAGCAATTTCAGTTTTCACATTCCTCTACAAAGGGCCCTTCTATGCCTTCCCACCTTTCTTTGGATAAAAACAAAAGTCTGCCATCTCAGTAGAATCCCATCTTAGAGGTAATTTAAACTGAGACTCAGCAAGAATTGTTAGGACTTTCGTGCATGTCCGACCTTGTGTAGTCAGAGCCCATGTTCTTGACGATCCACTTTTGTGGTTCTTTTTCAAATGATTTTCAGATCTTCTTTGAGCTAAACCTCGAATTTTCAAACCTCAGGGACTGCTACATGGGCAGCAAAAGTAAAATTGGGCTCAGCAATGAGTAGCTTTTGGTACCCCAATATTTTGCCCTGCAGCTAGACCAACATGTTTCCAGGCCAGTCAAACGAACAGGTGTGCAATCTTGATGCCCACAAAATAATTGTGGAATAAAGGAATAAAACTTCTTGGCCACTTGATGTTCCCTTTAGTTCTCAACAGTGAAAGACCCTGAATAAGCATAGGACTCCAATGTGAATCTATCAGAAACACCTGGATATTTTTTGAGATATAGTAATATGATAAAAATATTTCTTTAAGTCTGGTACCCAGTCCAAAAGAGTTTTTACCAAAATACATTCCTCTGAACACAAGTCCTACAATATGCTTCTTGAATAAGGCCTTCTGAGTCCAAAACAAGTTAGGGAACTGAGTTCTCTAGTTCCTACTTGGACATTCACAATGTACCTTGACCTGTTAAAGGCTCTGAAGAGTCTTGAAACAAGGGAAGATGGTAAGTACTGTTTATCTGTTTCTCCAAATTCTACAGACTTCGTTTTTGTTTTTGTTTTTTTCGGGTGACTTCCACCGTTAACATCGCAAGAAGCATGAATTCTGGAAATATTCTGGAACATGCTGATACGGGCAGTTCCCAAATGGTTAACTCTTTTCCGCAAATACAGTTTTCCCCTAGGTATCCTCAGGGGGGATTGGTTGCGGGATCGCCAAGGATACCAAAATGCACGGATGCTTATGTACCTTATGTAAAATGGTGTGACACTGTGTAGTCTTTATGTATGACCTGCGGACATCCTCCTATATACTTTAAGTCATCTCTAGAGTACTCACAATACCTAATACAATGTAAATGCTATGTAAATAGTTGTAGATACAGTGTAAATACTATGCGAACAGTGGTAAATACAATGTAAATAGTTCCTGGTGCCCACAAATTCAAGTTTTACTTTTTGGAATTTTCTGAAACTTTTTTCAAATATTTTCGATCCTCAGTTGATTGAATCCCTGGATGCAAAACCACGGATACAGAGGGCCAACTGCATTCTGAGGCTTGCCTGTGGCATACCAAGAGCTATCACGTAAAGGGATGTGTAAGGATCAGCTATGAAGACCCTCATCCTCACCTCCTTCAGCTCTGTTCAGATGTTACTTTTATCAAAGACCCTTCTCTGACAACCACCACTCAACCGACCCTCTCTAACTCCTGCTTTATCGTTCTGCATATTACATATCTCTGCTGGTACTGCACCTTTACATAGTTATGTAATAAGTAAATATCACCTATGATTTATGTAATACATATGTCTAATATATTTTGTATTATTATTACATCATAATTTATGTAATAAATAAGAGCTCCCTGAGAGCAAGGACCTTGGTCATTTCTCCCCTGAATCAGGAGCTCAGTAAATTTTTTTTTTTTTTTGCGGTACGCGGGCCTCCCACCGCTGCGGCCTCTCCCGTTGCGGAGCACAGGCTCCGGATGCGCAGGCTCAGCGGCCGTGGCTCATGGGCCTAGCCGCTCTGCGGCATGTGGGATCTTCCCAGACCGGGGCACGAACCTGTGTCCCCTGCATCGGCAGGCGGACTCTCAACCACTGCGCCACCAGGGAAGCCCCTCAGTAAATATTTGTTGAGTGAATGAACACACTCAAGAGAAAAGTTGGTAAAAAGGGGTAAACTACCGGTCAAATTTTTTATCCAATGTATCAGATGCTTTATTTGTGAAGTAAGACATGGAGACCGCCCTTGAGAAAGAAAGGCATCATTCTTTGCAGACTTAGGTCTGCTCATTGGTTAGTGATGGTGACAGTGAAGACAACTACAGGACGAGCAAGAAAGTATACCAAAAATATACCCCCCAAAGTAGCTACTCATGGATCCAAATACTTCTTCTACTTGTTTTTTTCTTCTGCAAAGCACTGTGCTGTGCGCTTCCCTCACTCAGTCCCTCTTCCCTCCTTGTGCACTCTGATAGATGTTCTAACAGTGTCAACATATGGTCTCAAGCGGGGGCCCAGGTATTCACAGGTGCATTAAGATACAGTCCCTGCCTTTATGGAGGGCACTACCTAATGGAGAAGACCGCAAAATATTTAAAATGACTGAGAAATGCAAATAGAGCTAAACTGGGACTTCCTCGGTCCCTGAGGATGGGACATACCCCAGCTTGGGGTGAGGGAGGAGGAAAGCATGAATGGCTTCCTGGAAGAGGTGACCTCTAAGCTGAGCTTTCAGGGTGAGTAGGCAGGTGTTAACCATGAAGAGAAGGAGGGAGGAACTGGAGGAAGCACCTGAGCCAGAAAATGGGGGCTTGAGTAGAGAACATGCTGCATGATGGGAACTAGAAAGAGTGTGACATAAACAGAGCACAAAATCTGAGTCAGGGAATGCTGAGAGTTCAGGCTGAAGGGGGCAAGGGCCCAAACTCTCCCATCCTCACAGCTACTGTCTCAGCTTGTTACCAATAGCCAATGTTCATAAATGCTGGCTTTTTTTTTCTCATTTACCAGGGGTTTGTGCTAAGCATTTTACAACTGTTATGTCAGTGGAGACCACCAATAGCCTCATGAAGAAGATCCAGTTATTCTGTCCATTTTACAGACATGGAAACTGAGCTCGGATGAGTGATGACAGACACTTTCCAAGTCACAGGACCAGGAGGCATCCCCAGGGCCAACAAACAGTGCCGACAGTTCTAACCACTCCATAAACTTGTATTAATGTCCCTAAGGCAGTGTTTATCCACCTGGAGTGATTTTGACCCCGGGGGCCACAGGACAATATCCGGAGACATTTTTGGTTGTCACAACTGGGGAGGGGGTTGCTGCTGGCGTCTAGTGGGTGGGGGCCAGGGATGCTGCTGAACACCCTACAGTGCACAGGACGGCCCACCACAGCAGAGAATGATCTGGCCCCTTATGTCGTCCACCTATGGGGAGGATGAGAGAAACCCTGCCCTAGTTTCCCGGCCAGCTGAATGAATCGCTGACCTACTTATTTTGATGAAAAAAGGTGCAGAGTTCACCTTATTTAACCACCTGATAATGCAGGGCTGGGCTGCACCCGAAGACTTCAAGCTCGGCAGGTGCTTAGAAGTGCACGCGGTGAGCAGCTCCGCGACACCCCCTCACACAGAGTACGTACAAAAGGGGGACGAAGAAACGCCTTTTTGCAACAAGGGAAATAAATGAACTAGAAGCCATTTGCTGACTGTTTACAAAAAGCCTGACTTGGGTTTTCTCTTCCCAGACTGATGATGATGAGGTGCTGCGTGGGGCTCCGTATGGAGCGGGTCTGAGGTCATTCACCGGAAACTTCCCTTCTGCCCACGCCTGGCAAATCAAAGAGCTGGTGGTAGGTGTTGAAGGGAGAGGGAGTTTTTCCATCCTGCCCTTGATCACAAGCAGGATAATGGCTATGGTGATGGATTGCACGGAACGCGTACGCTGAAAAAAAGCAAGCAAGGGGCAATCTGAAGTTGATTGCCAAGTCCCGGGCAAAAGATGAGAGGGGAATGCCTTCTCAGGCACCCCAGGAAAACAATTATTCGTGATTTTGAAGAAAAGCAGTTCAGCTAAGAGTCATTATTTCACTCTTTCTCTCTCCTCTTTTTAAAATATAAGTAGGTGGAGGAATTTGTAACTTGTGAAAACAAAGATCAAAGAACGGTGGGAAGGGCCGAAAGTCTGAATGTGTGGTTCCTGTGGGCTGTCTGTGACCTCCTGTAACTTGGGTTCCAGACTGTGACATTGCTGTGACAAGGTCCCTCCTTGAACAAGACGGAGAACAACGCAGAGCCGGGAGGTGGGAGGAAAGTAAGTGACAGCTGTACTTGGCACAGAGCAAGCAAAGATTCTGGTGTCAGATGGGCCTGAGATGAAAGCCCTGCTCTGCCACTTGCAAACTGAGTGTACCTGGTCACGTCACTTCACGTTGCTGACCTCTGTTCCTGCGTTTGATGAAGGGTGATGACAACGTCCACTTTGTAGGGTTGTTTTGAGGGTCAGAGAACTCATATGTGTTCAGCACCTAACACTGCGTCTAGCTCGTAGTAGGCACTCAATGCAGGGAAACTATGTTGACGTTGATGCCGACAATCATCTTAATATAAAGAACTATTTATTAAAGTGAAACGCTCTTATAACATCCTCAATATAGAATGGCTCTTCCTGTGTTCCAAAATGGCCCATTGTTGTGTTTTGCTTGGTTGACCTCATGTTTAAAAAAAAATCCAAATTACCTGTGGCTTTGTTTCTTGTTTCTTTTAGTCGTAGATCCCCTGATTCTTGGTTGAGTATCTGACCACCCAGAATAAAGACTACACTTCCTAGCCTTTCTTTCAGATAGATGTGGCCCTGTGACAAGGTACTAGCCATGGAAGTGATATGTGTAATTTCCAGGTTATACCTTTAAAGAGAGGGACATCCCTCCGCTTTCCCTTCCCCTGCTGCCTGGAATTTGCATGTGATGGTAGCAGCCAGCGCAGCCATCTTGGACCACAAGAAGGAAGCTTCATGTGAAGGTGGCAGAGCAACAAGATAGAAGGTGTCTGGGTCCCTGTCCACAAGAAGTGCCCTGTTAGCTCTCAACCACCTGCCTGCACTTTTCTATGAGACAAAGGTCTACCTTAATAAAACCACTGTTATTTTGGAGGGTATGAAGCGTTGGAGGGAGTCTATTTTTACTGGAGCCAAACAGGCACCCAGTTTAATAAACTAGTCCATTAAAAAATCAGGAGATTTCACATGTAACTTTAGACTTTTAACATACTTCCTGCAGAATAAGCAGTTCTTGGAACAACGGGTTGATCCTTTCTTATGCCCACATGGGTCTTTATGTGGGGCATGCGGTGTCCTATATGCCACAGCCCCCTTCCAGCATCTTCTTTCATACACACTTAGTCTTGAGATCGTCCTCTCCTCAGTGTGGCTCTACGGAGATGACTTACAGGAGAGCCACAACTGAGCTACCCTGTTCTTGACATGTATCAAGGGCTCAGATGCCAGACCCTCCATTAAATACAGAAGGTACGTTCTGTTAGTCAACCTCCCCACTGCACGAGGTCAGTATTCCCACGCTCTCTTTGCAGACGAAGGAGCCGAAGTTCTAAAAGGACACGGAAGTTACTTCAGGTCCCAGGGGCAGAGGCTGTCTGTATCCAGAGCTTGACTTCCTAGCAATACCTACTTGATTGCTTGAGCTGAGCTCCCAGATTTTTTGAATCAAGTACTGATTCATTTGCAGAAATCTAAATGGATTTAAGAAGATTTCCTGGATAATTAGCAGAGTTTGCTTCCTCTGCACTTGCCTCACAAACGTGTAGCCACTGTTTTCCTGGTCTCGTTATTGGCATATTTTAGCTCAGGGTGATAATACCTCCGTCATCACACCGCATTGTTCAAAGGCGAGGCAGCCTGCTGCACAGAAATAAAGCCCTGGGGGTCCTTTTGCTGCCCACCAAGTGCCATGAAAGAAAAGACCAGTCCAGATGGTGACTGAAGTTGGTGGCTGAGGTCACAAGGCTGTGGAAGGTTCCCGAACAGCATTTCCTGGGAAGGTTCATCAACAGATAATGCACAGTTGGCTCATGTCAGTGTTCCCTGGATGGGTTCAAGGCCAGAGTTTGTGGTTAAGGCTGTTCCCATGCTTGCCTCATAGTTTGGCTTCATGTCTCCCCCCTGCCTGCAGCCCCCTTGACAGATACACTCTCCAGACCCACACTAAAGCTTACACTGGGAATGCTTTGAAAGCTCGGGAAGGAATCTGGGGGCCCTCCTTGTGTCTTGGAATCACAGAATGTCAGATTTGGAAGGGACCTCAGAAAGCTTCTGGTCCGACTCTTTTGATTTGTAAGATAGGAAACAGATACAGAGAAAGGAGGAGGGCTGGTCAATATTTGTCCACCAACAGCATTTACCTTGTGACCCTATTTTTGTGGAAGTTAAAGGTGAAGGCAGGGTTGCACTTTGGAAAGATGACGACGATGATGATGGTGGTGACGATGATGATACAGCAGTTGTGTTATTTCTGCCCTAGGCACTAAATTACGTGGATTTTCACATTCACGCCTCATCACAGCCCTCTGAGGTTGTTACTCTTATTCCCATTTACCATTCCTACTCATTCCCATGTGACCTGAGGCACAGAGAGTCAAATCACTCAGCCCTGCTTGCACAGCCATAGAGGGGCTTCTCGCAGATCGGAAGCCAGGTTGTCTAACTCCACCGCTGAACTGTTTCCACTAGGCTGGACTTTAGTTCAAGAGTTGCCAACTCAAATTCCTACAGGAATCGAGCTGACTCCTTAGGTGAGTGAAACAGGTGAGGTAGGGTCTGTCAGCTGGTAAACAAATGCCCCGTCAAAATAGAGTAGCTGCTAATAAGTGTCTCCCATTCCCCCCAACTACTGCCATTCGACTGTGCACCTCCAATACCGCAAGATCCTGCAGTTTCTCAAAAGAATCCAGGAATTCAGATTTGTACACGATTTTTACACCTTGGTGACTGGAAATCATTAGAACCATTCACAAATATTCCGTGTCTCTTCTCCTTTTGATGTTTGTACTTCCCCACCCTGTTGGAGCTAGCCAAGGCCACAAGAAACGTGATCAGAAGTGGCGTGTGCCACCTCGAGAGTCAGGGTGTGATTCACTACGCTCTCTTTTCTTCGTCACAAGGGCAGGTGATGTCTTTTCCAGACAGTGGCTGCTCTGGTCAGTTTGAGTCCCAGGTGAGGACAGAGCTGATTCCTCAACTGATCCACAGCGTAAGTAGCATGAGAAATTTACCCTTGTTGTTTTAAGGTATTGAAATTTGGGGGTTGTCCTTTACTGTGGCAAAACCTACCCCAGTCTGACAAGTATGGGAATTAATTTTCAAAAAGTAAAGTCAGCAGGCCAGTATGCATTCCTAAAGGTTGTGTGGTTCTAAGAACGCCGGGTCTTATACTTCAGAGCTGGGCGGGGGTAGCTTAAGACAGCCAATGTCAAGGGCTTGGCCCTTGGGTCAGCAATATCCTTCTGTCCTGGAGCCATGGTGACAGTCAGAGCTAGTGTCTTATTAAGCGAGAGCTATCAGTTTCATGAGGACCGTGGAAGATTTTACAGCAAATCTGTCCTTATTAGAAACCTCACTCAAAGCTCACCCCCTCCCCCCAAGTCACACTCAGTGTCATTTCTGCACTCAGAAATTTAATGTGTAAAAAGACAACCCACCGTGGCTACACTACAGAGCAGATATGAGAGAAGAGATGTTTTATTTCCAAGTTGAAATGTTAATGCCCTATGAGAAAGGAGTATTTCTGTTTGGAGGAGGAAATGATGGGGCACTTACTCTGTTCACAGAGAATGAAGGATTACTTTAGAAAACTTGCTTCGTTTCACAATTAAAGAAATATAACGTAGTGATTTTTATCTTTAGTTTCAAGCAAAACACAGATGTTTGAGATTAAGCAATTTAATATTCCCAGAAACGATTAAAATGTGTATCAAGGTTCTCACTGGTATCAGTTGCTGCAAAAACAGAGTCTTCCTCAGGTCTCAGTTTTTTAATCTGTGAAATGGGATAAATATTATTGGATTGCCTTGCTTAAAGATGATTATAAACTCTTGAAAAACAGATACAAAGAAATGCTACATTTAAATAAAGAAAACTTGTTCTGCTATTGGAAGAAAAATTTTATTATGTTCATATGATAAAACTATTGATATTAAAATTGTTTCTTTGATTTATCTTTAAAGACATGAGCAACTATGCTTCTATTCAAGTATCAGAATTGAGACTGTTTTGCAGATTTTTTTTTAAAGTATAAGATTAATGAATGCTTATAGTAACAAACTGAAACACTAAATTGGGAATACAAAGTAGGGATTTTCAATCTTGGCTCTGTTGACATTTTGGGCAGGATAATCTTTTGTATGAGGGCTGTCCTGTGCGTTAGAGGAAGTTTAGCGTCATCGCTGGTCTCTACCCACTAGATGCCAGCACGACACTCCCCACTCCCACGGCCGCCACCACCAAGTGGGGCCGGACATTGCCAAAAATATATCTAGACATTCCCCTATACACCCCAAGGGGCAAAACTACCCCCTGTGGAGAGCCACAGTACAAAGTATATAGGGTAAAGTATAACTGAACAAACCTCCCCTAGAATAAAAATTTCTCAGAGGTAATCACTGTTACCAGTTTGGTTTATATTTTTCCAGCAATTTTCTATGTATAGTCCAATATATATACACTCACCTTCACTCCACCTCCATGCAGACACACAGACTGAGTTTTTCCCCCTGAATTGGGATTATGCTAGTCTTTGTATTCTTTTTCATTTAAAATACATCTTCCTTTCCACGTGTCTACACGCAGAGCTTCTGCATCCTTTTAAAGAAATATTGACACCGTAGTCCATGGGATTCATGTACTCTAATTTACTTAACTGATTTCTTACTCATGGACATTTAGGTAGCCCCAGCTTTTCCTACTATAAACAATACTGTACTGAATATTTTTATACTTATATCCTGGCACATTTTGACCAGCATTTCTACTGGAATTGTTGGATCAAAAGGTATGTACCTATAGTACTGATTGATTTCTGCAGATCTGCCACCAACCCCCCAATAGATGCTTTAGCCCCCAGGTAGTCTTGGAGACTTGGAGTTCCAATGTTTTTTTCCTTCTTAACTTCCACAATAGTATAGTAGTTACTAGCTTAGCTAGAAGCCAATAGTTCCAAGGTTGAGAAACTTTGCTTTAAACTAAAAGAAACCCAAGTTTCTGCCAAGTTTCAGCAGGCAAACTGTTTACACCTCACTTTCCTCATCTCCAATAATAATGATAATGGTAGTGCCTCCTTAAAAGCATTGTTGTTGGAATTTATTGAGATTATATGTATACTCCTAGCACAATGCAATTAATTATTGTTGTTAACAAGATAAAGCAAGGGAGTGGGAGGTTCAGAAAAGTAAAGCCAAAATGTGTACACAGTCTAACAATTAAGGAACGTTATGTTGCCAGATAATTGTGACCACTACAAAGATGACTTTCAGATGATCATAAAATGAACATGATAGAAGGGAAAATGTACTCCCTCACTAAAGGGATTGCAATTAATGTTTGAGTCACTGGATACATATGAACCTAGCAGAGGGATAAATACCTATATTTATATACATACACACAGAGGATATGAATATACACGCTTTTAAAAACACGCCTCCACACATTTATATAAGAGAATGCTGTCGGCATATGGATTTTCCGTACACATGGGTAACATGGTATGATGCAGGAGAGGCATGTTTCCTTCCAGGATAATTTCAGAACAGTCCTCTCTGTACTTGTTAAGAGTGAGTCACCATGATAATCAGATTACCTGGAAAACTGGTTTCCAACTTCCTCCAAAGTGCATGAAAGAAACTGAAATTTTAAAAAATGAGCAAATGCCAGCAGGACTGCTTTAGGGCAGTGGGTTTCAAGGATCATCTTGATCCTGTTTTCACACTCTACCTCCTCTATCAAATACAAGGAGACCCCTGAGCATGAACTTTGGAGAGAGACAAGTCAATATTCAGATCCTGTCTCTACCACTTAGCAGCTATATATTTTTTGGCTGACTTAACCTCACCTTCTTCATCTGCAAAATGGGATAATAACTATGCCACAGAGTTCTCTGAGGACTAACGAAGAGAGTGTGAAAGTTAGCATCTACTCGTTTTGCCTACCCAGCATCTGGAAGTTTGACCCCAGTCTTCTTTGAGAAACTGCCCGTTTTCTGTTGTTGGTTCTCGAGGGTTACATGGACTAACTCTTAGGCTGGTACCAGGTTGAACACATGACCCCAAAGTGTCCAAGCAGTATTGTATTGCTCTGGAAAAAATGATTGTTTCAAGTCTGGGTATGTGAACCAATCTGTACCACGGAGACGCAGTTTCAAATGTCTACAAGAAATGGGAAAAAGTAACTCTGGCATCACTAAGGTGTGAAGATGGAAACTTCTATTGGCATCTTGCTATATCCTGAGACGAGAGGAATCCAGAAGAAATCAAGAAGGGAGAATAAGACCTAATTCTGATGACACCATTTGACCCCTTACGTCCAACTTGGCCAAAGCTGAGACATCCCTGGCCTTTTGGAGATACGGAACCAAAACTAATCTTTTTGATTTAAACCAATTGGCTTTAATTGTACTGTATTAGTGAGAACTGAGAGTTCTCACGAATACTATATGCAACAGTTTTAGTCCACTGTCTGGTAATTAGTTCATAAGGAGCTGGGTGGGTACTTAGGAGGTAGATCTATTGATTGCAGAGACAGGCCAATTTCATTTCCCCTTGGCATCTGAGGAGAGAGCGCTGACTGACAACACTGGGAGATCGGGTTCGTGGCACAGTAATGAAAGCAGCTGCTGTGTGAATAGAAAACAACAACAAGGGCCCTGGGCCCGTTTACTCACACCTGGCGCCTTGCCAGGCTGCAGGGTATCAAACTCTGAGAGGGAGCAGACGCTACCGCTGCCACCTCAGGAAGGCTCTGCAGCTGATGCAACCCAGGCCCCACTCCGTGATCAGCCGGAAGACGGCCCGAGTCACCTGGAAAGAGGGTCACTGGCTCCAAAGGTGGACATCGATGCCCCACACAAACAGGAAACACAACAGAACAAATGCCGCCACCAGCGCAGGGCTGAGCTGTCAAGACCAGGCTTCAAAAAGAGGGGTGGGCCTTGCTTTGATGACAAAATGCACAAGGGGAACACATGGCTGGGGAGAGATACGGCATGCGGGGAGCGAGCTGTGGACTCAGAGAGCCCCGTTTCTATCTCGGCTTCGCCCAGTTCAAGCTGTGTCACTGTATTCATGTCCCCACGTCTCCCCTTGGCTCAAGGTGGCTTCCTACTGCATTCACAGTAAAGGCTGACATTTTTATCAAGGTCCACAGGCCTTTGCATGTACCACCCTCTGCCATACCCGCCAACTCTATCCTCCTATCACGCAGCCCTTTACGGCTTCCACACCAGCCATGCTGTCTCTGCACCGTTTCAAACTCACTGATACGCCTCTACCCGAGGACATTTGCACTGACTGTTTCTTCTTCCTGAAATACTTTCCCCCTGGACATGTGCATTGCTCCTTTACTTCATTCAGGCCTCCCTGGAAATGTCACTTTGTCACACAGGCCTTATCTGAGAGCAGCTCATCTTAACTCTGCACCATTGCCTATCTTGTGTGCATCACTGTCTCAGATGTTATTGATTCTCTTGTTAATATGTCTTTCCCTCCTAGAGTGGGGCTTTTTATTTGTTCAGTTCACTGCTGTATCACCAGTGCCTAGAACAGTGCCAAACACACAGCAGGTGCTTTGTAAATATTTGTTCTTTATTTTTTTTTAGTTGTTTAACACATATTTACTGAGCACCTACCAGTATCAGGTGTTGACAAAACAGAACTGATGAGAGAGATAAGGATACCTACTCTTGCTGTTGAGAAATATTCCTGCAGACAAATGAAAGAACCAGAGGAGTAGGCTAATTTTGGAATGTGGGAAGTTCTCTCGGATGACAAAGGGTGACTGAGGAACAGGAAATATTTTTAACCAGGTGGTCAAGGCAGGTCCCAAGGTAGAGATGAAGTTGCTGAAGTGGTGAGAAAACCGCATCCCACCTATCCCTATCCCTATCCCTAGGTATAGGCCAGGAAGGAGCAGAAGGGTTGCAGGAAGAAGGAATAGCAAGTGCAAAGGTCCTGGGGCAGGAAAAAACCTACATCCTATAAGTAATCAGTGTGGCTAGACTAAGGAAGAGATGGATAAAGGACAGAGTGAGAGAAGTAGGCCTAGGGAGGCCCCGAAAACAGAGGCAAGCATTTTGTATTCTCTCCTGAGAAACTGTCTCACCATTTTCAGACTCAATTTCATCTCTTACGAAACGGAGATGACAAATGCCCATGATGGAAAGAAGATTTGACAAGAAAAGGCACATACCATGCCTAGCAAAGTGCTTGGTAGGTGGTAGGTACTTAATAAATGTCAGCGATACTCGTCCCTGGAGAGAAAAACAAACTCGATATAAGATAGAAGTTGGCCGGGATATTCAGTTTCTGCTTCTCAAACCCAAAGCCCTCTTGGTGGGAACGCCCAGAAATGAACTTGAAGGAGCAAGTAGGTTTCAATACCACTTTAGAATTCTCACCGGTTCCTTTTTGGTGCCGGGCAGACTGTCACTCTCTCCCCAAATGTGATCCTGCATTATACAAATATGCTGCCTGAGCTGACAGCAAGTGAGTCGTCAGCAGAGTGAAAGTATTAGTGGCAAAGTGAGTTTAGCAGAGTGTGTGTGGAGACCCAGCGAAGCAGTGCCAGGCGTTCTGCCCTGACGGATGTCTCTGCTCTGCATGAGGACACTTGCTGGATCTCAGGGAGGTATGCGGGGAGGAGGGAGGGCCCACAGCACACAGGCAAGCCCTGTGGGCAGCTGACCGCGCCGGGACCCGGGCACTGCCCCAGCACCAGCTATGCCCATAACAAGTCTATTTGTACACACAGGGGTGAGAAGGGAATTTCATCATATTCCAGCAAAAAGCCTCCCTCACAGAGTGCACAACCAGACACATCACGACGCAACCCCCTGCCATGAAGCAGATCAAAACCTGTATCCTCTCAGGCCCATAGGAACACGCCCGTAAAAATAGGTCTGATCAACAGCCCCAAGTTTTGAAGAAAATAGATAACATAAAAACACTTAATTAGGAAAAAGTTTGCTTGGGAGATGATTTAAATATCTAAAGAAATTTCCCTGATCTAAGGGCTATTTAGTTTCAAAGGAAATTTATTTTTCTTTGGAGTCTTAAGTCCATGTGACTGTCTTATAACAGGAGAAAATGCTGTGGGGACTTTTTAAACACTAACCAGCCTTTCTGCTTTTAAGCACCAATTTGACTTGGAGATCTCACCTTCTGACAAAAGAATGCTTTTTTTTGCAGATGAATCTGTTAATGATAGAAAATGCAAACCCACTTCTGCCTCTGCTTACTGAGTTCTCATGGGCCCACCTTAGGACATCATGAGTGACCACAAGAGTGACGATGACAATAGTCGGGGAAGGCTTAACCTGGGAGGCCGTGTCTGGGAAGTAATCATCGGGAAATAATCCTTATTTAGCTATAAACAGGATGCCCCTCACAGCAGGAAGTTTCAGAGGAAAAAACAGATGCAATTCACATGTCCAACATTAGGAGAATTGTCGTACACTAATAGTCTAATAAAATACACTATAGCAGGTTTCCCTGGTAGAGCAGTGGTTAAGAATCCATCCGCCAATGCAGGGGACACGGGTTCAAGCCCTGGTCCGGGAAGATCCCACATGCTGCGGAGCAACTGAGCCC